ATACTTATTTAACATATTAATTCAATAAACAATATTAAAAACGCCAGATTGACCTTTGACCTGAGTCTTGTTTGCATTTGCTGCAGTTTATTGCATAATAATTTATTTGTAATGCGCAAGTTGCAAATACATTGTTTCATCAATCGACGCAGTAAAAATTCGCAATCAGAGCTAGTCGTGACGCTCCATTCACACGGGGCTTCAGCGTCAACGCTTGAGAGTGGGCGTGTCTGAAGGTGGGCCTGACGCGATCGTGAGCAGAAGGCGTGTGTCTGCATGATCCGTATGAGATTTCAAGAAAGTCATCGAATTTGGGGCGGAGCCTTGGCTGCTCAGTTGAACACTCATTTGCATCAGCCTGTAGTAGCCAATGGGATGACACCTTAAGGTTGACCATGGCAATGAGCTCTGCAGTGGTGTAGCAGACAAGCCCAAAGGGCACGCCTGCGGGCCACCGTGGTCATGGTCATCCACTACCCCCTCCCCCCGATCTTCATTTGGCACGATCATACCTCACCTCAGCCTTAACAACGCCGCCGACACTGCCACAGCCCACCCTCCCAATTCATCTCCCCCCCCTACCTTGCAATATAGCAAAAGGGGCGTGTCTGCGCGATCTGTGTGAGTTTTAAAGAAAGTCATTTAATTTGGGGCGGAGTCTTTGCTGCTCAGTGGAACACTCATTTGCATTAGCCTGTAGAAGCCAATGGGACGACACCTCATGGTGACCATGGCAATAAGCTCTGCAGTGGTGTAGTGGATGCGGGGGGCCCACGTGTGGTCACCCAAACAACCCCCCGTCCTCCAGTCTTCATTTGGCGCCACCATACTTCGCCTCAGCCTGAACACCTCTGCCAAATAAGTCACCAACCTTTGGGCGATCATAAGCACTCACAACCCTCTTCACCTCCCATGGCACTTCTCGCAAAGAGTAGGGGTGTAACTCATTTAAACACATCATCTTACCCATCATGGCCTCCTAATCATCCTCATCCACTGAATTGGCTGTATCATGGTCTCTCCACTCCACCAACAGCTGGTGTGATGTGAGCTCACTGGTGCCGTTGTCCAGTGGCTGACCTTTGACCTGATAGTCATCTTTAGATGTTGTTCATCCTGAGTGTGGATGAATCTTTTGTTTTGAGGTTTTGTGACTGTCACTGCACTGTGTGTATACTGTCTTTCACAATCACAGATTTAACGGTTTGGAAGTTTAACCCAAGCAGGAATTTTCACCAGAAATGACAATTGAACAAGTAACATTTCTTTCACTTTTATTCTGACGAGCTAAAAAACTGCTACCAGAAGTGTATTATTAATTATAATATTGTAATATTCAATACCTGAAATAAAAGTCTTGTCGTCTGTCTCAGTTTAAGAGCAACACATAATAACTTGACTTCTAGTTGGTCATTTGCTAAAGCGTCAGATTTTTCTGCTGAATCATCTGTTGATCTGCATCCCAATCATCACAAACACTGCAGAAAACCTACTGGAACCAGCATGGAGCCAAGATTCTCAGAGAAATCAGTCAAGTTTGGTGAAGGAGAAATCATGGTTTGGGGTTGCATTCAGTATGGGGGCGTGCGAGAGATCTGCAGAGTGGATGATCAACATCAACAGCCTGAGGTATCAAGACATTTGTGCTGCCCATTACATTACAAACCACAGGAGAGGGACAATTCTCCAGCAGGATAGCGCTCCTCATACTTCAGCCTCCACATCAAAGCTCCTGAAAGCAAAGAAGGTCAAGGTGCTCAAGGATTGGCCAGCCCAGTCACCAGACATGAACATTATTGAGCATGTCTGGGGTAAGATGAAGGAGGAGGCGTTGAAGATGAACACAAAAAATCTTGATGAACTCTGGGAGTCCTGCAGGAACGCTTTCTCTGCCGTTCCAGATGACTTTATTAATGAGTGATTTGAGTCATGTCAGAGATGTATGGATGCAGTCCTCCAAGCTCATGATGGAGTCAGACACAATATTCATTCTGTCTCCACTGCAGCAGGACTTTATATTCTATACTGGACATTATTTCTGTTCAGTGATGAGACTTTAGTCTAAGCAGAGTCAGACCTTACTGTCCTAATCAAATCATTAATAATCAAGGCATGATCAGATTTTATTATGGTAAAATAAGTGTAATCTAGACGCCTTTACCTTTCATATAAGACACTTCTGATACCAAATGATCAACTAGAAGTCCACTTATTATTTGCTGTTCCTAAAACTTGAATAGACAACAAGACTTTTGTCAGTAAAAAAAAAAAGTTAAAAAAACACATGCAAATAAAAAAACACTGACAACACAAAGAGAAGTGCCCTGCAAATAGCATTGAGTTGAGGACCCCAAAACATTATGCACCGCCTGATCTGTTTTCTGATTGTCAAGACATTTTGCAAAAGCCATATTACTAATTCATATTTTTCTGTCAAAACTAATTTAGTAATACAGCTAAGTGAGAGGGATATCATTTGTTATGAGCAATAAACCAAACACTGCACTTTTTGCCAACTTTATTCATTCTGAATGGCAGTTTTTTTTACTCATAAATGCTAAAATTCCTCCTTTGTAAAAAATTATCTTTAATAAATTTGATGGTGCGTCTATTGCTAAATGTTCTAAATATTTGCCTGCCATCGATTGTCTTTTTTTTTTTGTGTAATTTGTTTACTTTTATACCAGCTTTAAAGCTACTGACTGCCATGCCTTTTTTTTTTTTTGCAAAGGTTGTTTACTAAGATATTTCCATTTTAAAAAAAGGGCGTACATATTTCCTGTTTGATGCTTGTAAAAAAAAAAAAAAAAAAAAAAAAAACATGAAGAGGCCAGTCTGGAGACTGTAGGTGTTTCTGCTGCTCACTCACATCTGTCAGCATGAGTTTAAAACAGCGCTGCTATTACAGATACAGGTAAAATACTGTGTGTGAAATGCTTTATGTTTTTTAAATAACACTGAAATACACTTTGAAGTACGATTGACGTATGAAGTCAATGTTATTATTGTGTTTATGTGTGTTTTATTATAATATTGCATCAGGAAGTCATTTATTGTCAGACATATTTCCT